CAACGAATAATAGCTGGTTCTTCAGGTGTACGGAAGTAATGAAGAGTTTTAAGAACATTACATTCGCTTGGGTTAAATGCAAAAAGCATTGCTTTCAGTGAGCTAGATTGAGCATCGTGAATAATTGTGCCATATCGGTCACTATATTTGTTGTGAAAATAGTCCAGGTCAAAATGGTCTGGCTCCTAGTCAGTTAAAGTAGGCATTTTGATAGTAGAAAAATTCGAAGTTTTTGTTTTGCTAAGAAAACCTTGGTGTTTTGTAAAAATAACTAAGTTGTTTTTAGGGGTTAAAGTAAAAACAGGGGTTGAATTGTGTTGCGGCTAATGCGGCAAGTTGGTGTAACCTTGTATAACCTTGTATAACTATGAGGTAAAGATATTGTGGCTGGTGTAGCTGGTGTAGCTTGTGTAACTTAGTGTGACATTGATCTAGTATTACAAAGATGTATACGAATCTAAGATTAAAATAGTAATATTAAAATTGCGATAAAAATAGATGAAACAGGAGTTAAATTTGTGTAAATTAATTAATAATATTGATTAGTAATAGGGATCTGCAAGTTTGGGCGTCCTATAGGACCAGAACCCCAAAAAAAGAAAAATTTTTTTGCAGAAAAAAATGGCAAAAGTTTTGCAAGAGAGTTTGCACAATTTTTTAGATAAAATCTTGAATTTACGTTTGTTTGCTATGTTTAATATATCAAAATGAAGCTCTAGAAGGGCTTTCTATCTTTTTCTATTAAGGAACAAATAGTATTTACTTAATAAAAATTTTAAGATTTTTGAATAGATAGAAATTTAAGCAAGTGAGCTATATCTCTTTGTAGAAGGGCTAAAGAGATACAATAAAGGGCCACTTATATGTAAAATCTTGTATAGAACAAGTTTACTTAAATAGACAACTGTTGTTTACTTAATAAAATTTTGCAAAAAAGCAGATTGTTTGTAAAGAAATTTGGTACAAGTGATCGTCAGGAAGAGTTATGTGATCGGCCTTGTGTCACTCATATTATATTGACATATAATATTATTTTATTATATAAAAAAAATCTACAAAAGAATTTATACAATAACGCGACATCTCTCAGATATGTGAAAATCTTAGTATATGGTTATTCAAAATGTAATGACCAAAAACATATAAGATAAGTTTTTTTTTTATTTGTTATACTTTATCTTATGATTATCATCATTAGATCCTAACTTACAAGCTTACTAAATATCTAAATACAGAAGTTTGCAAATATTTAAATATGAAAGGTTTCTAATGTTAGAAGATAAATTTTTAAATTTTTTTTAAAAATTTTTGAAATAAACTTAAGACACGCTTCACTATCTATTACCCCATCACAAACCCCTTTCAATTGTTTATTATCGTTCAATACCAATACATCACCTACTAATAAACCCGATAAATTCTCTGATAAAGACTCCTCAGATACTAACCAATCTGTTAAAAGTGTTCATACTACCTTTTCAAAGATGAAAACTCAAGTACAAAAGTCCTTCAGATCCTCCAGACAATATTTAGAACTACACCAACCTTCACAACCAGCCCAACCTAACCGCCAGCTCTCTTCTTCTCAACCAAAATCTCTTAATAGGGATTATGATCATTCTTCATTACTATGGCGCAATAATGTTCATAGTAGATCACATAATAGATCACCAAATCATAATTGAACACAAAGTCAAGGTAATTTTTATAAATAAGTTTTTTTTTTTTACTTTGAATGCAGTACTTTGTACTTTTTTTTTCTTTGAAAGTTTTTTTTTTTTCTTTCTTTGCGAAAGTTTTTTTTTTTTTCTTTGAAAGTTTTTTTTTAAAAACTATTTTTTCTTTTGAAAAATATTTACATAGTAGCTACCGCACAATTGACGAATGGCTTTTTGCCTAAAATCGAGCACTATACATTTTAATCCAAGAGCTTTGTAACAATGTAAAGGATGTTAAAGCTGAATTACAATAGCAAAAGAGAGAATACAACAGCAATCTTTCAGCTCAAGTATTGGATATAAGTGGATTAGTCAATTAACAATTTGTGAAAGTAATCCTAAACTGATATATTTAAATTTAGAATGTGTATACAAACATTGTAAAGTGTCTCTTTTCGCACCATGTATATCTCTCTCAAACTATCTTCAAAAAAGCTTTGAAGGCTTACCTTAACGAAATGTATCTAGAATACATGTTCAAAATAAGCAAAATGAATATACAAACTGCTTTCATAGTGAATGGTGTAGTACCATATGTAACTTCTTTTAAATATTATCTTTGTTTGCTAACGTTTAGTTTATTTTTATTTATTTTTAATTTATTTATTTTCTTTTGTTTATTATTGCTTGTAATTGTTTATATTTTAATGCAGTTAATTAATTTTTTATGTCTTATTTCATTTTAGCTATTACAAAAAATAAAAAACCATTATAGTGTAGTGCTACAAAGCATTAGAAATTCTATTTGAAAGGTTTTCAGATTTAAAAACCTTTCTCAATTAAAGTCCAATACTGCTACAGCAGAAATTTTAGAGTAGAAAAAAGTGAACAGATCACTAATTGTTTTTGTTCCCTATTCGAACAAAATAGAAACAGCATTTTTTAAGTGGCCATTATAGCTAGGACTGCCTTCTCTACAATTATAGTACCTATATTATCAAATGAATACTGTGCTTTTACTCTAACTGTATGTGATATTATGATTAACCTCCGATCAAAAAAGGTTGTATACACAGTAAATAGTATGAAAATAAGTATTTGGTAAGTATGTATTTAACTATATCAGACTCTGGGTCTTCTCTTTCCCCTCCTATAACTAATAGTAGTTTAACTTAAATTAGTTTTTAAATAGAAAATTAAGAGATGATTTGCTACACTTTGGTGGTTATACAAGATATAATAGATAGTTTAAATTAATATCATCTTGATACAATCTGTAACTAATCTTATTCTATATATAGCAAATTTAAAAAAAAAAAAAAAACTATATATCAGATTATATCGATTCAAATTAATAGTTTTGCATTGGGTTTTGAATTGTAAAACGATTTCAATAAGAGAGGTCTCTCTTATAAATCCACTTTAACATTAATGGACAATAAGCTAAATAAAGATGGTGAAAAGTCATAATCAAACACTCCTAGCTATAACTCTGAACCTGATTATCCGTCATAATCAAATTTGATGTCTCTTTCACAAAATGAGCTTGATGAGTTGTTCAGTATATATACATAATCAGTAAATTCATTTTTTTCTTTTTTTTTTCTTTTTTCGGTTCTTTTTATTTTTTTTGTTTTTTTTTGTTTTTTTTTATTTTGTTTTTTTTTATTTTTTTTTATTTTGTTTTTTTTTCTTTTTGTTAAAATTTTTTTTGCAATATGTGTTGCTTGTATTTTAATGAATGTAATCTTGCAATTTGTGCTATTTTGTATTTTATTATAAGTAACAATTGTAATAAAATATTTATTAATAAAACTGCATTAATAAATTTGATATTTTGATTGAAAATTGTATAATACATAAAATTTGACTTGCAAATAAATCATGTAACTATATATTTGTATTATATAGTATATTCGATATAAATTGTTAATTATCGATTGCTATATAAATCATTAGTTATCGATTGCTATGTAACAGGCTATATATTATTTATATTCTTAATTGATTTGTATCATTTTATAATTAATCGAATGTTTATTGATATATATTATAATCGATGATAATTGGCAGAGGAGATTAAAATCGATATATATCCTTAAGGCTAGTAATTGATATATATCTATATATAAATTTTGCTGATGAGAGTTGTTAGATATATATTCATTTCTGATTAGATTATTTTTTATTCAGAATACAAAATTTTCCCAATGATCCTTACTATTAATTTTATATTCAGAAATAAATAAATATCTATATATAGGTTTAGATCACAGATAACTCCTATAACTCTTGAGTTAGCAAAGTCTCTGTCTGAGTCTAGTTTTAGTATCTTATAGATATAAAGTTCAAATAATATAATTTCTTTATTTAATTATTTGTAAAGAAGTTTAATTAGATTTTAATAAAGATAGAGGTATGGCCTCACCTTTGAAAATTAAAAAAAAAAAATCTATGTATATATTTAGATGGATAATACTTTGCAGATTGTAATCAAGCTTCTGGTGTTTTTAGATTATTGATATAGTTTAAACCATATTTGGTTAACATGTATTGAGCATAATTATTTTTTGTCTATTCTTTAACAATATCTTGAATATTAAGCATTTTTATTAGCTAAGACTTTTATTTAATAAGTAGGTTACAAGCTTGATATAATATATTGAAGAATAGATAAATAATTAGTTATTTTTTTAAATAAAGATATAGTGTATAATATAAATTATATTACAAGATGACATATATAAAATATAAAATTCATAAAAAGGGTTATAAGCCTTACTTGGTTAAAGCATTAATTGATACATCATCAGATAAAAACATTATTAGAAAAAGCTTAGTTGATAAACTTAAAATAAAATAGAGTGACCTACCAAAATAAATAAAAGGTGCTGTAGGTGTTGTGAAAAGCCTTAAATTATCTTTTCAATTTAAGGGTAAGAATAATTAGTATCTAGTAGTAATGAATTTTTAAATAATTTTGTAGTCTGCAAAGAATCTAAAGCTAATCTTGTATTAAGAATACCATGACTGTAGTTGTATAAAACAAAAATTGATCCTTATAGTGTAAGAATTTCAATTTATGATGGAGTGATACTATTTTACAAGAAACTATCTGATAATTCAGAGAGCAATATATATAGTCTAGATATTTTTCAAAGAAATTATATACCATTTATGACTAAAAGAAAAAAGAAAATTTTTAGAGCAAAGCTGGAAAAAACTAATTTTTAAAGATACCACATCTGAATCCTCATCTTCATCCAAATCTGAGTCAGACTCTGAATCATCTAATGATAATGAAAATTTTATTGTAGATATAATAAAAGTGAAAAAGTGTAATTAGCTATCATTATCAGAAATTTCTCTATATAAATTAATGATATCCTCGACCTTATCATTTTCTTGCTTAGGTACTAGAGTATTTGGTCTATCATTTATTACACTATAATGTTCAACTGATAAAGCATAACCTATTTTTTTATCTATATACCAATTGTCATAAATATTGACAGTGGAAATCATTTCTACTTCCATATACTCTGGAAGCATAATCAGCTCCTATTTTTCTTAATATAAATGAGATAATTCTATAGCGACTTAAAAATTGATTATTTCCATTCTTATCTTTTAACAAGAAGGTAAATTTATTAAGTATTGATCTTTGAATCCAAATAAGTAATTCTCTTGCTCATATTGGATTTTTTTTTATTAAAAGGAATGGTTTAGGGTTTTTTACTTCACCTTTATTTTTTGTATAACCAATACAGTACCAAAAATAGTCAGTATTATATTATGACTTATGACTTGGTCCATATCAATTGATATAAAGATTTTCTATATCTTTTTTTTTTTATTACTTAAAGTGAAGTCATGTCTCTCATGTTTATTAATTCTTTAAGTTATTATACATTTCACATACAATTTTACTTATTAAACTAATTTCTGATTCAAAACTCAAACTACTTTATCTGTGATCATAACTTACCAAGTATTCTGTATCTCACTTACATCTTTACTTGGATTTTGTGCTTCACAACTAACTAATTCTAGTTACCCAACTGTATTTACCCCATGACTCACAATCAAACCTCAGTAACTTCCAATTTGGTTCACTTAGGTTATCGATCTCTAAAGGCCTCTCAGATTAATATGCCTGTAGCAAGAACGAAACCCACATTTACAATCACTCTACATCTACTTTTCACCAGTTCTTGTCCATCTCCACA